AAAGAATATACCACATATTGCTGCAAAACCGGGTTGCTTAGTCGGTAGATCGTCGAGCTCAGAACCGGGAAGTCGCGAGTTCATACCCCCCCCTCATCGGGGTCACTTTCCCTTCGTTTCTCCGAGTTGATAAATGAGTACCACCCCGCTGAAAAGAAACATGAGACTATACACTACTTTGGCACATGACAATTATTTTTGCCTTTAAAAATAAGGCACTTCTGACTGATGGCATAGAAGCCCAACTCAGCGCTGCGTCATTAACTTCCGAAAAGAAGAGCTCCAAAACGGTCCCATCATGAAAGCAAAAGAAGACTAGCATTTCAACAGTGACTAAGTTTGTTACCTTTTCCCTGTGTTAAAATTTCACCCAATCAAATTTAAGAAAACTCAGTGTAAACGATGCAGCTGTTCACTCTCCAAAGAGCGGAACTGCTGCTCGTCTTGTACCACACGTGTTTTTGTAACAACGATTTAGCGACTTGATATAACGGCTTATTGGCGAAAAATTTTATAATCTCTATCTATCTTTCTTTCTCTTAGTAGCAAATCTGAGGTTTCTACGAATGCTTTTAAGCCAGTGAATCCTTTGATTTGGTAGCTGGTAGCACGGCAAACAGATGAAACATTTTGTTTTAGTCATCTCAAAGCTGATTTTTTCTGCAATGAAACGGACGACCCTCCATCTACTCTCTGGCAAAAAAATCACATGTTAATCTTTCTATTTACGAGCTACGTTCCTTTTCTTCTTGTGCGGCGACGGCCACGAGTGCAATATGTGCGATAAACAGCTCGAGTTACATCATTTTCATGCTTAACTAAATTCACATTATTTGTATATTGCATTGCAGTAGACCTTATCTATTGATAAAATGTCTGATTTTTTGCTGAAGATCTTCAAATATGAAGTAAGAAAATGAAGGCAGTTCGCAAGATCCTGTCAAGGACGTATTCCGAGCTGGTTCTCATTCGCTTGTAACAGAGAGCAGCATTGGTCATTTGACCACGTGCCGATGCATTTATTTTTTACGGCAGCAGCATTCGCTGCTAGTGACGTTCCAGATGCAGCTGTTTTGCACGTGGGTGATTTAGTGCTAAAAGTTTGGATTTGTACTTATTATATAGATAGGAGGCTGAACGATTTATAGTTCAGAGCGTCAGACACATTGGAGAGTAAAACATTTATTTCCAGTGCGTTTCGCTACATGCACCGTCGAATCATCAGAGCTATGCATAAATGGCTGCTGGAAGGCACTTATATATAGCCAGCGAACAATAGTATTGTTTTCCAATTGGGCAAATACTTTAAAAGCAAAGCGCTGTTAAATTGCTTGAAAAGAATGCTAACTAACAAACAACAAGCACAATGTAATACAATTTACCTTGAAATGCAATCGAATCTGTGTTATGCTGACCCGATTTTGCGTGTTAAATTCGTAACTGTGCACTAGCTTTGACTAATAGGCACGGAAGATGCTTTTGCACAGCATATCTCGTATTTCATTGCGAGTATATGCAAGGACTCCTTTATGAGCAAATCTAATTTAGTGTGGTCTTTTTCAGATGCAGACACATTGGTTTGACTGAAGGAGTACCGTTCGGTGATCGTATGCTGAGGAATTCTGGAACTGTCCTCTTGTCCATGGTAGACCGTATATTAGTACGCTTTGGTTAGGATGCTCATAGGAATCATTATGTTGTATTCAGAGATTGCGATAAGTTATATATTCGAAGGATCTGCTGTTATTGTATCCTATACTGTAAATGATCAGGTACCATGCGAAGACCTGCGGAAGAAGCAACCAGGTAATTGAATAGGAAACATTATGTTATGTAGGTACGAGGGTAAAACTTGCAAACAACATCGTCCGACGGTTTAAGCAGATCCCGGTGATGACCACTGATGTGGAAATTGTGTGAAAGCTCTATAAGAAGGCCTACTCCGGGTTGCTGCCGAATGCTGCGGTTTAAAACGGGTTGAAATGTCGGCCTGTGGTAAAAAACGGATTTCCTGATGGAAATATGAGACATTTTGGTGAAGTGTCACAGTCCAATTTTTGCACGACAAACAAGTTATTCTTGCGGACCTTCGTGGAAAAAAGGCAATCTAATGGTCTTGATGTACAAGTATGAACGGCCTCTTATGGAATATTTGGGCATACTTCGGCGATGGATAGAGAGCACTTCAGGGAATTCATTAACCACGAGCAATCGCATGAAGAATCTCCTGACGAGAAACATGGAACGGTTATTAGTCTTTCTGTAGAAGAAATCGTATGAACTTTGACATGCTTGAAAAGTCGCAAAAACATTCTGGCAGTTCAAATCCGCCGTGAAATTTTTAAACCATCAATCGTACAGGGCTTTCATTCGCTTACATGTGTCTGTTTGCCTACGAAAGCTGCGTGGAAGTGGACTGCAACTGGTCTCGTCACTAGCAGACTAGAAAATGGAAATTATGACAGCCATATTAAAAAAGGAAGATCATAAGGAGCGCTGGAATTGTAATTACTTTATTGATCCTCCAAGATAGCCTGCACAAATGCAGTAGAAAGGAACTGCCGCAGAATTACCAACTCTAAGATGCAAGAGGATATTTTGGCTTCACCTCCGGTGAAGCACATCAGGCCTTGCGCCATATTGTCGAGAAATCGTGGTAGTTTACACATTCGTTTCCAGGTGCTGTGTGAAGCAACAATAAGCATCTGATCGGCCACGAGCAACAGTCTATGAGCGAGCTGGCAAACATCGGATGAATGACCAGCTGTTACTAGTCATCCAGTCACTATATGCTAATCGCACGTGCTGTGTCAATCTAAATAGCATTTAGTCAAGAGCATTCAGCGTTCGCACAGATTTCCGCTAAGCCAGCTCCTCTACATTCTTCTGTTTCTGCTCTGCACGGATGAAGGATTAAGGTTTCAGCGAAAAATGTATGCTTCTTAATCTTCATCTTCCATGGCCGCTTCTAGTTTCGGCTCGGGCACGCAGATCTGTAAAACAACGCTCCCGATCCTGCGCCAAAGATTGAGATATGGCAGAAGACAACTGGAGTATGCAACAGAGTCTTTCCACATATGTGTACCCGGTCAATCTTAGCCGTCATCTGGGCATTCTGCCAGTCGGTTTGTCAAGAAACAGTTGATTAGCTTTCCTTACTGGAAGCATTCGCAACACATGGCCAAACCATCGCAGTTGTGACTTCTCAATCTGGAGAAACAAAGGCTGTGCACCAAGCTCTTCCGGATGTCACTATTCGGACCATGTCGAGACGCGTAAGACCAGCGACTGTTCTA